CTGGGCTTTGCTGTTCAGAAGCCAGGGTTACACAACTGAGGAAGCGTGCACATCTGCCCCATTAAATGTGAGTATTATTAAATACTAGTAGTTCTTGACTACAGGTAAGAAAAATCCTCTTGTAAAAGGCAGTTCTGCTGAGGTACTGGTGAAGGCTGTTTTGAAAGGAAGTGTAGAGGACTCGTCCACTTTTAAAGGGTGAAATTCAACGCCAAATTAAAATCATTTGGAGACCAACTTTCCCTGGCTGGGTAACTGAATGGCAGTAGCACTCAGCTGAACAGGCTGTGCATTATACCTGCTTCGGATGCACGCTGCCTGTGCCTCAGTGTCCTCTGCTAAAAAAGGGTGTGTGTGTGTTTGTTTGTGTCTTAAAAATTCACAGATGAAAAGTGCCATAGGACAGTTTGGTATTGTATTTGGTATTAACTCTTACCTACTAACTGATCTATTTAGTCATCTAAATTCCTAACCGCTTACAGACCACAAGGGTTTTGATTGATTTCTGTTATATCTAATTCAGCCTCCTTACTAACTGACCTACAAGCTGAGGGTGAAGTAAAAGATTTTGAACAAAACCTGTCTCTAAAGCTGTAAAAATTAACATGCAACAAGCTTTATTTGTTTTCTTGTGAGTTCACAGTTCCTTTTTACCTTTTTCACCCAAAGGGTGTGTAAACCTTTGCTGACCCGAACATCAAATGGTTTCCCAATTACTCCTTTGGATTGCTAGCTACTTTAGTCCTTGATAAGTGTAAAATGAGGAGGCTGTGACAGGTTGTACAGGGGAGATTGTGCTTTTTAGAATTACTTGTGAGGATTGGCGCCAACCACCTGCTTCAAAGCCCAGAAAGGTTAATTGCAGCTCTCTTTTGCTTGACCTGAATACCAGAGCAGATAGCTGGCCATCCTGCCCTTCTGGTTGCAGACTGTCTCAAATAGCATTTTCTGATTTTGTCAGGCAATTGACAGTGGATAGTGACAGACTGTTTTAAAGAGGCAGGCTCTGTGCATTTTAGATTAAAAGATGGCAGTTCTAAGTTTTTGCTGTCTTCTTACTAGGGAGTGTTTGCAGGAGCTATTTCTTCTGGCAGCATTTGCCCTCTCTCCTCCCTCAGGTATGTACCAACAGCTCTACAGGAAGCTGTGCCTAAGTCACCTGGTGATGCAGCTCGCCCTAAACCCCTGTTCTGCACCAGAGCTTGCTCCACAGTGAATCTGTAGGTCTTCCAATGTAAACAAATATGCACTCCCCAATCTCTAGCAGCAGGTCCTATGAGTTACCATTCCAGCAAGCTCACATGCCACTTCTGGGAGTTAGAATGCAACTATAAAAGCATGGATCAGACTTAAAAGGGGAGAAAGCGAAGGGAAAAAACAGGTCCTGGGGGCCCCCAGCTTCCCATAAGTCAGAGAATACTCTTGGCACGGAGTCCACCAAGCTCCACATGGGTATCTCATTCCCTCATCATTTTGGAGGAACATCTAGACTGCTGTTAACATGAAATCACAGCTTTCATCTGGGAACTGGATGAAATTAATTCCTTGTGCAAGAAATTGGAACAGGCTTTGGCTTGGCTTAAGCCTTCAGAATAAGCCTAAAGGATGGCAGGACTGCGGCGCTCCAAAGTTGTGCCACTTCCCAAACCCCTGTACTAGAGTTTTGCCCTAGCTCCATGGTAGACCCTTCTGTCTGCTACAGGTAAGACCTAGAACTAGAAAAGTACAGTTTTGGGTGACAGAAACTCTTGCGTAACCATCAGCAGAAGCTGCCCTGGGGCTTTCCTTGGCACTTTTCTAGAGTGATAGGAACTGTGGTGCTGTGGAGGCTCAGGACTCCTTAGAGGCGCTGAGTTCGTAAGACTAGAAATTACCTTTAGAAATAAACACTATTTTTTGAGATTCCAAGTGAAATAGGAAGGCTGGGCATTTGCTATACGTGCTCAAGGTTCTCGTTTCCTTCAGCTGAACTAAGCCTACTTTCAAGTGAATTAACTGCTTTAAGGGTTAGCGAGTGTAGTAGTTCTTAGGTTAAGTGCATGTGAATTTAACATAGAGAGGCTTACTCAGGCGGGCTTTACTGCAGCTGCTATGGCTAACAGTGGTCATGGTTTCACATGCTTCAAATGGCTAACAGTGGTCATGGTTTCACATGCTTCAACATGGGCTAGCAACTAGATACAGTGATTGCTGTTTTTTTTTTTTTTTGTTATCTGTGCAATCAAACTGAATTTTCCTTTAGATTCCTAGGTTTGCTTGTACCTAATAGAGTAAACCCAATTTCTGGATAGGGAGATGGAAAAGAATAATTCATCTCTTCACATTTTCATATCATGAATGAATGATTTTCTAGGCGATACATTTCAGTGAAATGTGAACTCCAAACTCTACGGAAGGGCATTGGGTGAACTTCTATAGCATAGTTATATGTCCTGAATTATACTTAGCTCTTGGTCAGCGTAAGTGACTGGATGGCCCTGTCTAGACATGACATCTATGAAATCTGCAAGCCAAACCTGACGATTTTTTTTTTAAGCTACAATTAAATTCCATCTTTCTTTTCCCTAATTTAGCACCTTTCTTGCTTGCTGACAAAAAGATAAGACCATTTTAAACAGCAAGAAGAGAATCTAAAATATTAGCCTCTGTCATGTCAGATATTAGTTATTCCTCTGATCAGGTCTTGATGTTTATCCTTCGCTCTTTGAGTTTTCTTAATTATTTCTGTCTTGTATTAATTCTCACAAAGCTCCCTAGATGGGGGCTTTGTGATTTAGAATCTCAACTGCTCATTCAATTAATGGGCTTGATTAATGTGCTTAAACTTCCCAGACACACTTGTGACATATTATGGGGGGGGGGGGGGGGGGTGGTGGTACAGGGATTCTGAGTACGCTCCATCTCATTTGTGATACTCCTGAGCCTGGAGTCCATTTTAAGCTCTTTATCAGATAGCTAGATTTTTTATTTTTTTTTTTAATACTTGTACTCATTAAGCATTGATGTGGAAGGAGTATTATCTTCAGAAGAGTGCCTTAGTTTCCTTTGTCTATCTCTGGTAACCTAGCTTAGTCCCTTTGCAAAAAAGTAATTGAGTGTAGTTTCAGCACATTAATTAGGATCTGTGAAACTGGCCTGAAAATGGCAAATGTAATGTGGAAGTGCAGCTGTTTCACTGTACGTATTGGTATTGCATATTTCTGGAGAGAAAAATATGAAACAGTGAGTTTTTCTAAAAAGAATATAAAAGCACTTGCCAATATTTATAGTGAGGCTATTATCTAATAATTAGCAGTACAGAAGAGAGTGACATTAGTTGTACAGTGATGTTATAAAATTATGGGACAATGTGAAAAGTTTGGCTGTCATACTGAAATAAGATAGGTCTAACTAAGTGTGAAACAGTCACTTGATATCATCAATGTTCAGTGGATCCATACCACCAGATAAATTAACACAATGTTTCTCAAATGTTTCTCCTTCCCTTCTTGGCTTAGGAGTTACCGTAACATCATCATGATAACTCTAGAAATAAAACTTGCCATTTAATGATCGACATAAGGGTTGTTTGGTTTTGTTTGCTTCTGAAGTAGCTGATTCTTAGCCAGGCTGCCTATAAATTTTAAAAGTATTATAGGATCCATTGAGGCATAATATTTTTCATTTAAGTGTTCTCTTTATGGTAGTAGAGCTCCAGACACTGCCCACCACGTTAGAACTCAAGAGAAAAACCATGTTATTGCATGTGATGTTACCAGGGTTCTAAAGATTTCAGCCATATGTGAGGACTAGGTTTAAGGGAAAAGGGGCTACTAGACACTTTCTATAATTTTCCTGTGTGCCTAATTTCTTTTAATACCAGAGAAGATTTGAGGTACATTTGCAGAGCAAAATCAACCTATATTTCAACATATTCCCCACTGAAGACTACGTGAGTTAGCTCAGTGACTCCAGTAAACCCGGATCTAATCACTGACTTTGCCAGAACCCCTTCAGGTCTGAGTCCCAACACATTATGTAACATGACACAGAACAGTCCTGACATGAAAGCAAAGTCCATTTCAGTAATTCAACTACATGTCATGAGCCGTGGCTTTAAAATATTAAAGCCATAGTACATGGAATCTATTGGAAGCTATCACATCTCTCTTGCTTCAAAGGAGAAGGCAAGTCTTTAAACATTTATATAGATATGTTTTATATACACACACATATATATGTACACACATGCATATATGTGTGTACGTACACATTTAGATAGATAGATAGAATAACGTGCCTCGTCGAGAACAGAGTTCCATCCTTCCAGGATGCAGGTCAAACATGTTATGTTGGATTGTTTTAATAAATCAGATCTGTGCTCCAGAGCCTTGAGTTTGTGCCAAAGGGTCCCTGAAACCAAGAGGGTAGACAAGCTGTAGTACACAGCCCACCTGCACTACAGTATTAGTTTTGGCAATATTTTCATATAATGACACAAAAGCGACTATAAATATATTTTGCTGAAACAACTACTGAGAAGTTCTAAAAATTAATGTTTCAAGTGCATTTCTGCTCATGAGCCATAAGGGGATCTTCGTCTTTAAGCATTACAGTGCTCAAGGAAAGAGAAAAGGATTCTATTTTATGGTTCTGAGTCGGTCTTTTTCTTACTAACATATGGCTCCATCTTTTCCATTTTTTTAAGCAAGTTATAAACATAAACTTTGATGCACATGGAGCTTGATTCATGCAGAGTTTAATTTGCCTAATATAAAAGATTGACATAGGTTATATAACATCATGAAATTATTTTTGTAGTTTGAGTAGTATCTGTTGTGGAAGGCAGAACTGTTTCCCTGGGGTACGTTTTTCACTGTTTGTAACTAATTAAAAACCTGAAAATACAATATGCATGACTCGCATTATTAGCATTGTCTTTGGATTGATGTATAATTCCTTTTGCTTCTTCAGGAACTTTTATTCATTTCCTAATTAATCTTTTTTTTTTTTTTTTTAAGGTTTCTGACAGATGTGACTCCATCTTTGTTAATGGCAAGGAAATGAAAAGCAAAGTGGATACTATTGTTAACTTCACTTACCAGCATTTTACCACCCAATTAGAAGTGACGGTCTGGGTGCCACGGCTTCCCCTGCAGATTGAGATCTCTGATACAGAACTTAGCCAGATCAAAGGCTGGAGGATACCAGTCACCTCCAATAAAAGGTATGCTTACCGCGCTGGCACAGTCCAGATGTGTGTGCAGGGCCTCAGATTTTAGAACTCAGCAGATTTTTAGAGTGTTGCTCAGAATCTAAAGCTCTCCTGTTTCAAATGAGTTTAATAGTCTGCCTTAGCCTTCATCATAACACACCCAACAGCGTTATCAGGTAGCTACATTCTGTCCTGATTTATAGCTTTTGAAGGTAGTGACTTTGCTTGGAGCATTAGACAAATTCCACAGAATCTCAGTAAATCAGATCTCACATTCTGATGTGCAAATCTGAGAAAAAGAACCTGGACCTCTCCCACCGCATACGTAACACTGTGTGTGTGACACTCAACACTGCTGGTGCTTAGTTCCTGTCTACGCTGCTGAATAAAACAGGGCCAGGGAGGGGGTCTCAGGCATTGGGCATACACAGCACTTAGGTGTTATGCAGCTCCATGGCAGCTTACGCTCTGCAAGACCACGCCTGGTGCAGACAGCTTGCACCAGAGATCAAAGGGGCACCACATGGGACCCAGAGGACACGTAGATCTCAGTGCATGGAGTATGGACACAGCCATTCATCGTGAACTTATCGTCAAGACATACCGCCAGATAAGAAAACAGAGGTATCTTAGAGAAGACTATCCACATATCCAAGGCTGTTAAGAACAGTTCAGGGTTCCTGATTCTGAATCTGATTTCCCATAGTTGCTTTTGGGCTAAGTACTTGAGATCCCAAACACAGTTTCTCCATCAGTAAAACTGGGTAACTCTTGTCTCTTTTATGGTGGTGGCTGCAGAATTCTGTTCAGCCTAATCCTGCATACAGTGAGCCTAACTTATGCAAAGTCCTTAAATAAAGTTCATAGATTTTTATGCCTGGAAAACATGTACTTGACCTTCCAAATATTGGCATTTGCCACTCATTAAAAGGGCAACCTTCTGAGCAAGTGCAACGTTTCACTGCAAAACCGGTCTATATTGAAGCCTAACTGAGAATATATGCTTTTAGAGTTTTTGTTGTCCCCCTTTTTCTGTGTGTTTGACATTAGCGTAACTTGAGATGCTTCGTTATGTCCTATTACACAGTGCTCTGAAGGGGACATGGCCTTTTCAATTAGATCGCCTCTTAATCTTTTCTTCTTCAAAACAGGAGGTCCAGTTTCTTCAACCTGTCTGAATTTAGATGAGGTTCTCATTTCTGTGGATTGTTCTAGGTGACCTTGGTTACCGCTTCTCCATTACAGTAATGCAGGATACAGCTCCCTTAATCGACTCGTCTACTCTCTCCTTATTTTTCTTTAGCATACCTTGGTATTTCTAAATTCAAAAGCAGCAGCAAAAGTGCACTTTGCACAATATTGTTTCTGTCATTTTGTCTCATTAGTCTGGATGATGTACTAGCTATCTTTTTTTTAAACAGTAAGATCAGCAAATTCAGAGCTCAATAGCGTGTTCTTAAAAGCCATTTGAGAGGCTATTTTGACCATATTTTAGCTGTGCTCCTTTTGTCATTGTCCAGTATAGTATTGGGCCTTAGCAGGGTAGGCGCACCACAGTTACAAATGACTCTTAAAGGTGGGGTGGCAAAATCTCCCCGACAATCAGCAATCTCAGGAAGAGGCAGATGGAACTGCTTAAGAACATGTGAAATCTTGCATATAGCAAAGAGGTGGAAGACCTGCGGGACTTTGATGGTTCTGCAGTTTCTATATAGATGCACTCTACAGCAGACATTAGTGAAGCATTACTTAGTAGACCTGATTTAGGCAAAAAAAATCCTTATTATCCTGTAAAAGTCTATGTTCTGATGAATAGGTTCTACCAAGACAGCTGTGGATGGATCCTTCCCTACTGAAAATACCTATTCTAGAATAACTGTCATTTTGACAATTTGCTAGATTAAGAATTTCCAGGAACACTGCTGCATTGGTGTATTTCAGGCTATGTTGAAAAATACTGCTGCAGAGCAAGACATGACACCAGCTTAAATTTATAATACAGTGAAAAAGAATTTCTGGCAGCAGCAACCATAGTGCTAAAGACTGTCGTAGGTCTAACGAAAGCACTTGATTTGCCCAGGACAACATATCAGCTACTGAAGAGCCTAAACAGGCAGCAGTGTTTGGAATTATCTTACACTTATGAGGGCATAAAACTAAGGATTAAAGGACACAGTTTACAAGGTGTTCTGATAACGAGCTCAGAGGAAAGGGACTGACTTGTATCTTGGCTATGTGGATGGTTTTTTTGGCTGACAGAAGAATAGACGATGAGGATCTGGCACAACTTGTGTGACTGCTCCAGTGATAAAAGCAAAGTTGCCATTTGTGGAAGGAAGATATATCCTAGATGACGAACAATCCGAACATAGGCCAGCTGCTTAAAGTTTCACTGAACTTACCTTCTTCTGCCTGCAATGGGCCTGGTGCTACAACACTTCCTTAGGTATAGGTCCTACTAAAGCCAGCGGGGATTTTGCTGAGCAAATGGCTGCAGAATTAGGTTGCTGATGCTTATTACAGGAGGAAACTTTGGCAGCAAGCTCAGTGACTTAGACATTCAACTGTGGTTAACGGTCGTGGACATTTTGACTTTAAACCCATTACACACAGAGCTGGAAATTTACCCGCTGGTGTCTAGTTCTGATTTATTTGGCCAGCTGAAATAAAGATAATGGTAGTAGAATCTGCTCTGTTTGCCAGCCAGCAACCAGTCTGAGTTTGCTGCTGCTCAGATTGCATTTGAACCACTGGCACATCTTTAGCAAGTATTTTCTGTGAAGGGTGGAAGAGAAAGTATGGACACTGTATCATTCCCCAGAACTGCAGCTGGTAGTTTATGACATTGCCATAATGTGTCAGCAGCTCATGCACATGTGAACCAGGAAGGTTTCAAGTAGAAATGATCTTATGTTTTAAAGAAAACATATTTGGATTTTTTAACGTCTGGGGATATTCTTAATTAATAGATAATCTAGGACTAGCATTAGTTTTGGTCTTGCTGACATTTACTTTGTACAAATTTACTCTTCTTTGGTTTTAAATGTCCTTTATTTTTATATTTGGCTGTGTTTTACCTGAGACTTAATGTCTTCTGCATTTTGGGTTTTTTTTCTCTTTTAATTTCCCTGTAAAATTTCTTCTATACCTCCATCTCCTTCATAGTTAAATATTTCCCCATATATCTAAACACAGGAGTAGTTCATATAATGGATTTTTAAATGGTGACCTGGAGCACAAAGATTGTGCCATGACCAGCATCACACAGGACATTTGGGCTTACAGTTAGGAGCTGAACGTTGGTTTCTTGAATCCTAATTAAGTGATTTAATCAGAAGGCCATATCTGCTTATTCTGAACAATGGTTCTGCCTGTAGTTCTTCACATTGCCCAGTATGTACAATACTGTGCTACTGCTGAACGCTGAGAAGATTGTCTTGTGTGAACTCTGAGAACAGGTTTGAAAGAGAGCGCGAGAGAGCGCTCTTTAGGAAAAAAACTGACAAAATCCAACCACTTTGCAACAGGTACAGTAGCTATAGCGTTATATTGCTTTAGCTTCGTTTTCCTATAAGAGCCAGTATTTGCAATTTGCATGAGGTTTTTGAGACTTGTCGCTAAAGAAAACCAAACGCGTGCCAGGTTCTTTTGTTTTGAGAAAAAGAGGGCATCTGACTCTTGCATTGTTTGGAAAGTCCCTGTCAGTATTCTTAGGCAGTCTTGAAGTTAGATTCAGTTACACAGGTGCCTACAGGACACCTGAAACTATGTCACTGTCCTCAGATTTAGTCATGGAAGAATCATAATGTGTCCTTTTCATTCCTCACCTCACTACAGACAAAACAATTTTCTCTTTTTCTCTTGTGCGCTAGGGTGAATGTCTTCACACCGCTACCTTGTTAGGACCATCAGTATTCATCAGTAAACAGAAGGTGCAGTTTTTGAGCATTTCTTTGTAGGATTATGCAAACTTAAGCAACCTTGAACCACTCTTTCACTTCCTGTAGTTCCTTCATTGGCTCCTTCCCGCATGCTCAGTGTGGCCATGCTGGATCGGCTGTCTGAGGGGCTGAGCCAGAGGGCGAAACGTAACTGGGTTCACAATAATCTTTTAAATATTTTTATTGCTGCTGTCATCAAAAGAAATGTTTGTGAAACTGCTGCCTCAGCATGGCTGTTCTTCACCTGAATTTAGCTGCTTCTATTTCACACCTGAAAAAGCATTCACATGCCCCAAATTGTATCTGTTCTTGCCAATGACACTGGTTGATCTAACAGAATCTAGTGACTCTCCCTATAAACCCTGTCATGTTTGTAATTGTAAAATGCATGTGATTACTGCGATGTTTGCTTACCTAACTTCTTGAACAATTTCCTCAAAGGAAAGAAAAAGGCAGGGTCTTTACAAAAATTACAAAAATGCTGAACGCCTAGCTTCATTTAAACTGCGTGTCAGTTTTTAACGGGTCTGAACTGGTGTAAGAGCAGGAGCTTGCTAGAACAGAAAGAAAAATGAGCAGGCTGCTTTTTTACAAGAAACTGAAAAGAGAAACAGTCTCGCCTTTGTAAGAGCAGAAATATGACTCACCAGATCAGTTTGTAAATATATGGCAAACATTTATTCTTATCCAGAGAACTTATCTATGGCACGTGCCAGTATAGATTTGAACAACCTCCTTTTCCAGAGGAAAGTCAGGTCTAGGGATCAACTCATGAGTACTGTATGGTGCGGGGCCCTTGAGCTGCCATGGGCTAATAAAAGTCTACTCTTGGAACGTGCTGCAGAAAAGCCCACAATCTCAGCAAATGAAATGCATATATTTAAATTAAAGTCAAATATTAGACTGAGGAAGAGGTCCAGGCAGACTCTGCTAGTCTAACAAGAACATTTATTTTGATTCCTTATGCATCTGGAAAATAATTATCTCTCTTTGAAGTTCTCACACTGCCTCTATGTACAGATATTTGCATGGGATGAGTGGCTTCAGCCTGCATTAACAGGAATTGCATGGCTAAAGGCTCACAGTGAGCTGGAAATTTAATTTAAATAAATGTTTGCCAACTGGGATAGCACATTGTTTCATGAGGCCGACAGCACACAGTACGTCTGCAGCGTACACTTCAGTGTTAGGGACGTAGTTTACCAGGCTTTAACTAGCACCTGGCCTTAGTGGACAGTAGCTAGTCAAGCCATTACTCAGTCACAGCGACTGCAAACCTCAAACCAGCATTAGCTTTCAAAAATCTGCTAAAGGCAAAACATGGCCAAAGCATGTTTAAGCCAAAGATGGTATTGCTTGTGAATGGCAGTCTGTTGGGCTAATGGTTACTTAGGTGAGAGACCTACTGTGGTCCTCTCTACTAGAGACAAAAGCAGGAGCATTAGCCTGAGTTAAATGAAGGGAAAACCAAAGTGCTTTAGTTAAACGTCTGTGTGAATGCTGTCACTCAGAAATAAAGCCATCCTTTAATGTCCTTAAGTGAATTAAGTGAAAGTGGATTCAAACTATTTCATTGGTGAGTAGGCACATCCACACAAAACTTGAACGCACTCTAAGTTCACTCCTTTAGTTAATTGAGTATAATATACCATGGAGATAAACATGGAGATAAAAGAGGATTTTTTTTTTTACAGGTAGACTTGCCCTTCAAGATCTGTAAAGGTACCAAATTGCATTTCTTCTTGGACCTCTGAATGGAGCTATGTGCAACTTGCTTCTGTAGTTTCCACTAAATCAACTTGGCTTTAATTTTGTATCTGAAATAGGTTTTTTTTCCAATGAGGGGTGTTGCAAATGTCTTTTAAATACATGACTCTCTTTAATGGGTATTTCAAATTCAAAACCTGCAAAACTGATGTCTTCAGGGGGGGTTTAAACAGAAAATCAGCACCTAGCCAATAACCTGATGCACAGTTGGAGTGGGGTGCAAATTAAAAGAGACACACTTAAGCTGCTCATGGACAGTGTCTGTAATAGAAAGTTGACAGATCACTGATTAGATCACTGCTAGCAGGCACCCTTGTAACAGGGCTGCTGTTTTAACTTAGCTCTCTGGCAAAGGCTTTCTCTGTGTGAAACGTATATTAAATGTAATTCTGGCAACCTTGATTCACTCTAGAAAACCAAAAAAATCTTCCAAGCAAGTGTGGGAAACAGCAAGAAACAGGATAAGAAGGATTCTGAGAGATATCCAGGGCGAACCTCAGAGATGACCAAGGGGAAAAAAAAGCACAATATGCAGCAATAGCTTATATTCATGACGACGTGTCTTAAAAAGAAAAGGAGCTAACTTGCTTAAGGAAGGATTTTAAGCCTACTGAAAACACTGTAACAAGAAGTTTAAGACTGTAAAGGGAACTATGTAATTTAGTGAATTTCAAACATTTTGTTGGGTCCATGGAGACAAAGCACTGAAATGCTCTGTCTTCTTAACTGAAATAGGGATTTGTGTCTTTGAAGTAGAAATGAGTATCATTTGTTTAAAGAAAGAAATTGAGTTGGTACCTGCTGAATCAAGACTTGCAAGGCTTGTGTTGAAAAGTCAAACACATAGCTTTTTTCTTGGCACTGACGTAAGAAAGTGCCTTGGCCGCTCCATGGTTAAAGGACCCGGATGCCTTTCTGATGTTCTGCATTTGCATGCAATAGGAATGATGTACTTTGAAGGCGTAGTGTACGGATGCAACCAACTGTAAATATTTCTGTAGTGAAATTGAGGCCTTCTCTTTGTCTGCTAGAAATACCACAAGGAAGGACTTAGACTTGAATGATCTGATTCTGGTTGGCAGTACTGGCTGCCCACGTAGTCCAAATCATGGTAATAAGGACGACAGAGCCCCCCTGGGTCCTTAGGCAACACCCCTTCAGCTCTGGCCAGTCTTTGCACAGCTCACATTTCTGAGCTGTGTGGGACTGAGGCTGAAACATTCTCTAACATTCTCGCCCTATGTTGTTCTAAATGTATTTCCTCTTAAACAGTCCAGTATTCTAGAGTTTTAGACAGGGAAAGTAAAAACAAGTAAGTGCAGACAAACAAGTATAAAAGTAATACATTGAATCGAACTGCGTAAAACATCTGGTGGTGTGAAAGTGAAGAAGAAAACAGATGCATAAAAAATAAAGTGTAAACACTGAACATGAGAACATTTTTCTTAAGCCACAAAACACTGGTTCTGTGTTTCTTTTCCCCAAAATCCCACAGGTACTTTTCACCTGAATAGTTCCTGTGCACCCTTTTCCAATTCTGCACATGAACTAGTGCTATTGTGTTACCAAAAGTAGGTCCAAGCCCCAAATCTCAGAGCTAAACCTGGTTTTCCCAAAGCCTGGGATTATTCAGAGCTGGACTACTGGCTTAGGCTAGCTGAAGAATGTCGGAACACAGTAGCAAAGCAGCATTGGAAGTGGGAATATTAAGGAGTTCATGACATCTTTTACAGCATTATAAAGCCAAAAGAGCTCTAAACAGTCGTGGGCCAGGTATGCTCTACTAATATCCCTCTTGTAGTGCTTTCCTTATGGCTGTTTTGGTGACTAGCTCTGCTTTAGCTGATAGTCCAGATGTAAACTTGTGTTGGGAAGAAGAGAAAAACGGAAATTTCCCTAAACTATCCAGCTATTCTAATTCTGCAAGAACAACTTCTTTGTGTACTGTAAATTCTATTTTAGGATTGTGTCTTTTTCTTAACAGTTCAGTGATTATTCAGTGATATTTTATTCAGTAACTGATGATGGACACTGTTGCTCCAAAGGCACACAGGAAACCAAAATGGCTGTACCAAATACCATTTACTTGAGACTGAATGTGTGTGTGTGTGTGTGTGTGTGTGTGTGTGTGTGTGTGTGTGTGTGTGTGTGTGTGTGTGTGTGTGTGTGTGTGTGTGTGTGTGTGTGTGTGTGTGTGTGTGTGTGTGTGTATATATATGTGTGTGTGTGTGTATGTATATATATATATATTCTGCTACCAAATGATGCATTGAGAATATATTTCCAGTGTAATAGATTCTGTAACATCAGGACTTTCTAGCATTTTGAAGAGCACAAAGATTTTTTTTAGATATATTTTCAGCTTACAGTTTGCAAACTTTGTCATAGAACAATTTATAACAGCAGCAATTCTGTTTTATAATAGTTTTTCATAACTGGTATTTCAAAAGAGAAGATAAAGGAACACAGTAAACACAAAACTACTTCCCAAAACATTGTGAAAAACAAGAGGCTTACCCTGTATTTCACACCCTTGCTATAAAAATGGCTTCAGGCTCAATATGAGTAAAGGAGGAAGGCAAACTAGTTCTAAGCAATGAATTCCACAGCACGGGGGTGTAATGAGTAAAAGTGTGACCACCTAGTGCTTAATATCTGACTTGCAAGAGATAGGAGAATAAAAGAATCTATATATTTGTCCCAAGGAATTAAAAAAAAACCCAAAAAGATGGGAAATTGGGTTTTAAACTAGGGAAAATGCTGTGAGGTGTGACCAGCACCGTTACTGTGCAAATCACCGTGCTGCTTTACAGAAAGCTTGCAGAATGCTGTTACTTTGTCATGTTATATTTTGTAAGGGGGACAGATAGCTAGAAGACTATAAAAGTGTCATTAAATTAGTGCAGCTGTTCATAAGGGTGAGCACTAGTCTAACCAGTTGGAGATTGTATTTGTACATCAGAGTAACTGATGTCTTAAATGGTAATTTAAGTGCCAAATTTGGATTTTTGGAAGCTCTGTGCGGTCATTACATGACTTTAAATATACCTCGGCACTTAAATGAGCTGTATGGGATCTAAGGCTATATCATTGTCTGTTTCTCAAATGCAGAGAGCTTAATGAGCCTGTGAGACAGAGCCAGGATAAGGCAGGGCTGCATTACCCAAGCAGGGAATCCTGAATAAATAATAGTAGTTTAGAGGAGATAAGCAAAGTGATACAAATGTTCAGGGAGGGGAAATGCAGTGGGGGAAGGGATGGCTGGAGGAAAGGATTGGTCGTTTTTAAGGAGCAGCTACTGTGCAGCTAAAAAATCTTCTCCCAGCACAGCTGAGCTATTACAGGGGTTGGTGCCACAGCTGCCCTCTCATAAAAATTTCATCCTGCTTTCCTTAGCCGTCTGCAGGATTTGATTACTGAATAAAGATGAGAACAAGCAGCGGATCCACTGAAACTTCAGCAAACACAGACATATTTGCAAATGGCTGGGAGGTCCCACTCAAAGAATCCACTCAGAGAAGTGAAAGTAGATTTTAAAATTGTGCAGGGCAAAAAAGCTGCGCAAACGTCACTCTGATACACATCCAAAATCTGGTTGTCCACTTCTCACATTAGCAGATGATGATAAAAATTAATCTAATATAAAAATGCAGTGCAGATGGAGCTTTGCAAGGTTGTAGGGAGATCATGACAATATAGGTAACACACACATGGATTTGTTTACAGGCCTACTCGTGACAGTGAGGATGAAGAAGATGATGAGAAAAAGGGAAGAGGATGCACTCTTCAGTATCAGCATGCCATGGTGCGAGTCCTCACACAGTTTGTAGCTGAATCCTCTGATTTTGGAGGCCACTTGACCTATATGCTAGGTTCTGAGTGGCAGTTTGACATCACTGACCTTGTGACTGATTTCATGAAGGTAGAAGAACCCAAGATTGCTAAGCTTCAAGATGGCCGAGTTCTGGTTGGTCGTGAGCATGGCATCACCACGGTCCAGGTACAGCCTAAAATATTTCTGTAGATTCAGCAGAGAGTGTTCTGGATGCAAACAAGTGACAGTTAACTTACCTTATAACTTACCTTATAAAAACCCACCCGATTATTTTCAGACAAATAATGGCTGAAAAACACTATATGCTAAACATAAAGGAAGTTTGAAGAGCTTTTCATTTTTGCTGTTTGTCATTTTTCATATAATACATTTAGGTAAAACTTCCAAAGGGATTCATACATGTAAATGTGACTAGCATCACAGTGGGATTTTCTGAACAGTGAAACAGGTTGCATGATCCACACAACTAGCGTCTTTAAATTATTTTAAGTTTTAATTTAATTTAATTTATCTGTTCGAAAATTTTACTGAGGATCTACACGCATCTTTACATGCCTGAATGTCTCTGAAAAAAATAGTCCCTTTATGTTCACTACCTGTCTGTCTATCTTCATGCGTATTTTGTAATCAAAATAAAGGTATGGGAGGGTTGCGGCTCCCCCGATTTAAGTGTAGACATCTGTAATGTGTTAATCACTCTTAAGTTTCCTTTGTAGTTAACACAAAGAAGTGGGCATTTTTAGGGCTCAACTCCTTTAATACTAAAGCAAGCACCTCAGAGAGGTCAAGGGACTTAAGCCCTAAAAATTTCTCTCAACTATGAAGGAGCACAAGGCAGCTAGCTCAGCTGCAGGTACCTACCCTGTAGAGGACTGATGCTGGGTTAGATGAATCACACCTCAGATATTTTGGGCTTGTATCTGGCATCAGTAGAAAAATGACTGTTTCCTTCAGAGGGTACTGGAAAGAAAGTCTTAGGGCAGACTGACAGGACTATTTTGTCAAGGAAAGATGCAGAGAGGCACCCAGTGGGATTTTTTTCAAAACCCTTTTGTAAATCTCACTTTCATTTCATTCAGGTCCTCTGTGCCACCAAAGAGGTCAGGCCAAGTTCCTATAAGCCAGGCTTTGTACGCTTCTTGCTTCTTCCCTTACCGAGCTTCAACATTAATCAGTGCCTTACACTATGTCTTCTGCTGTACTGCATTTACAGGAGGTTTTATAGAACATGCAAAAATGACTTTTTTTTGGAAAGTCAAATCTATTTAATTTAATCTACATTCCATAGCTGAAATGCTGCAATTTTACAGCGATGGGATGTTTTATTAAACTAATTTTTGTATAAAGAGTAATTTAACAGCAAATGAGTATAATGTTTTGGGGGAAACATCACTGTAGCTTATAAACGTATGGGAGAAAATTAGGATTAATCGTTATGCTGATTACAGTCTTATCTTGCCTTATAGCACAGAGCCAGCTGCTGTTTCATACAAGACACTTGCTTTCTCTTTCAAGGTTCTGTCACCTCTTTCCGATTCCATCTTGGCGGAGAAGACAGTGATAGTCCTAGATGACCGTGTAACAATTACAGATCTAGGAGTCCAACTAGTTTCAGGCTTGTCCCTCTCTTTGCAAATTAGCAAAGGCAATAAGAGAGCTATCGTTTCTACCACATCTGCTTATGATATCCTTCATACTCCAAAACAGGTATGATCCAAAATACTATTTAGAATTGATCTGTTTACTTTGCTTTGTCAGAGCCAGGGAAAAGCTATCTAGTGTAAATGCAGACAACACGTATAAGGTATAACCACCTGAAAAGCAGTAACTTTGTATAGCCAAGACTGTTCATCTTCGTGACCAACTCCTACAGGTCACGTAGCAGTAGACTCATACACAATGACCGTTAAACACTCCACAACTGATGTGGAGAACTGCACATCACAGGGAAAGTGACACGCATGTCTGTGAATGCAAAATGCTGTAGAAAGCATGCATGTGCCTCTTCAGACACTTTTTCTATGGAAAAACACGGCATAGCTACCTAAGCAGAGGTAGAAATCCTTTGCTTTAATAGTCCCAGAGAGGCAGTTCAGCCAAAATAATCTTTCAGCTGTGTCTGTAGAATTTTTCATGATGTGCATGGCTGAAATCTTTTGAACCATATAATCTGAGGAATTAAACAGCTTCAGATGAGACTAGAGAATTGAGCATGGATTTTTTTTCATTGTATTTATTATAGAATTGAGACTCTATCACTAGAGAAGCTGTAACTACCTTTTTAGCACTCAACACTTTTCCGTAAGAAAACAAATTAGTTTGGTCAAACCATCATTAAAAAAAAAATGGCAGTTTCGTAAGTGTTTCTACTGTTTCTACAACAAACTACAATAACTTTTGTATATTTCACATAATATTATATATCTGAAAGCACGACAGAAAATTCAGAATATTGCATTCAAATATTTTCTTAATCTAGTTTATGGCAATGATCTGAACAGCATCACCACTCTGACCCATAATAACTCTGCATATTGATTATATATACCATTAAAACTGCAGAAATACAGAGATTCCCCATTAAAGGTCCTTTGCAAAATTAACTAACTAGGACCTTGGAAATACAATTATTTACATCATGTGGCCCTGGCATTGAAAAAAAGGATTCTCACTTCAGCCTGAAAAAAGAATTTTCAAAATCTTTTTGTCAGTGCCTTTTATTAAATGTAGGTGACGGTCTCTTTGATAGTTCCTGAAGATGAGGTACATGCCTAAGAGACCTAGAGAGTACAAACATGCAAGTAGTAAATAAGAAGCAGAGTAGAAGGTTTTTTTTTTTTTTTCAAAAAAAAAAAAACCCCACATATACATTTATTTTGCCAATGTCAAGCAAACTTAAAATGACTGAGTCCACTGTGTGGTCTCTTACCTTTCATACAATTTTTTTTCTCACCCTGTCTTCCCCCAGGAAGCCATAGTCAGCGCTTGGGTTTTGTTCAGCGATGGGTCGGTGACGCCTTTAGATATTTATGACTCCAAGGATTTCTCAATCACCATCACTTCACTGGATGAGATGGTAGTGTCTGCACACCAAAATCTTCAGTCAAAATGGCCTAGGGTAGTAGCAGAAGGGGATGGGCAAGGACCTCTGATTAAAATTGAAATGGTCATCAGCGAGCCATGTCAGAAGACTAAGAGAAAGAGCATTCTGGCTGTTGGAAAAGGAAGTGTCAAAGTGAAGTTTGGTCAAAAAGATTCTGACCACAAAGGAAGCACCAATGATATTGACGATGTGGATAGAGACTTTAAAAGTCATGCAAGCAATTCTATAGAGAAGCCTGCAGAACAAGAGAGGACAGTACAAGAATGGTCTAAAAATGGAGCCCTTAGCAATCACGAGGACAATGCAAACAAAAGCACAACTTCCAAATCTCCCATTGATCAGGAGTCGCTGGAGGATGACCAGCCCCAAAATAACCCAACTGCCTTCACAGGTTTCCCTGCACAAGTAGAAATACCAGAGCAAAACAATCCGAGTGATCTTACATTGACTTCAAGAGGATTAACAGATTTGGAGATTGGCATGTATGCCCTGCTCTGTGTCTTCTGCTTAGCAATCTTGGTCTTTCTGATTAACTGTGTGGCTTTTGCTTGGAAGTACAGGCATAAAAGATTTGCTGTGAGTGAGCAAGGCAACATCCCCCATTCCCATGATTGGGTCTGGCTTGGAAATGAAGTTGAACTGCTGGAAAATCCAGTTGACATTTCGCTCCCGTCAGAGGAGTGTACTACCATGATTGACAGAGGAATGCAGTTTGAGGAAAGCAACTTTCTTCTTAATGGGAGTTCTCAGAAGACTCTTCATAATCATATCCTCAGATCTTCTGAGTACGTTTGTGAAAAAGAAGTTAAAAGTGAACCTATAAATTCTTCTGGGCCAAAGCAGAAGCGTGTAAAGTTCACTTCATATACAACAATACTGCCAGAGGAGGGAGGTCCCTATACCAACTCAATTCTATTTGACAGTGACGATAATATTAAATGGGTATGCCAAGATATGAATCTTGGTGATTCCAAGGAACTTAGGGACTATATGGAAAGACTGCAAGACAATATGTAAAACTACTTTCTTATGTTTGTAATCACCTTTATGCCTTCTGTTTATGGATGGTGGAACAGTCAGTCCAGTCAGCAATAGGAACAAGCGAGTCCAACCTTGGAGTTACTGAGATGATAATCTGTTATCACTGAGCAGGTACAAGAGGCTGGCTGAGTTAAACCTGTTTCACCATAAACCAGGATGTGCCCCTAAAACAGCTACCTGTAGGTGTTGGAGGTGTCACATGATGGCTGTTTTTGTATACTGCCTGGTACTAGCAAAATGCTAATACAACTGCGCTCACACTCAGAGGAGACTCCATTTGTTTATCTCTCATGATAAATGTTAAATAAGAAAAAAGAGGGATCTTTGCATTGATTTTTCTAGTCGTCGTCCTTTGTAAAGCACAGCGGACATTTCTTGCTTACAGCCTGAAACAAGGCTTACATTAGAAGGGATCTGAATGAATCTAGTTTTATTGCTTACGCGCAATACAGCCAAGTAGTCTTATTATTTTTTTACACGTATAAAAGCCCCCATGTGGTTCGTCATATTGTTTATGAATATTATTTGAGTTAGGGAACATTAGATATTTTCTTTGAAGAGTTTCTTGGCTGTACCAAAGTGTAGTACAGTAATATTTATAACGATTCAAGTTTTCTATTCATGTCCATCGGGCCATAGAGATACCTCCTTCATCACTTATGATCTTTCTCCTTTCCGTATGGGTCTTTAATATTTGAAACACAGAAAGGTGTTAGAACTCTTACTGGGAAAGGGTTGTCTCTTCTTACAGGGAACTGTAAATACAATAACAAACCCTGGAAAATACAAATCAAGGAGTAGCCTTGGGTTTACTTTTGTCATTAATGACCTCAACAGGTCATTAATGCACAACAGCACGCATTTCAAAGAGAAATGCTTTTGTTGAATCAGCAACTTGGTTGGTGACACATATTAGTATCAGAATGAGAAATTCAAATGTGGTATAGAATAGGAAGGAAATTTCCTGGCAAATAAGCGAAGGCTTGGAATCAGTGTTACTCTGTACTGATGAAATAATACATTGATGGTGGAGTTTAGCAGTACATAGGAGGCCATATACACAGGCTAGAGCCCCAGATCTCGCCTAAAACATCCCTGACCATAAGGCTGCTGAAAGGAAAATATTTATCATATTTCATTAAAAAGGGAAGAAAAGACAAGACACGCTGGACACATTATAAAGTGACTATTCCCAAATTTAACAAGGAAAACATTATGCTGGAGAGGCAAAGCTGTCATTTCATGTGCATTGTATGTATTTTCATAGTGAAGGATGACTGAGAGATGTTGAAAATTCCAGTTAGAAGAAAATGAATCTACGAAATGCTTAACAAAAACAGTAAAGTACATGTTCTTGTGATGGATCCTGTGAAATAAAACACAAGATCCAAACTACAACTGCCTTACTTACCCTACTGCCCAACTTTTAGGTAGATCAAAATCAGATTTGAATTTTATAATTCAGTCTCGACTTTAGAACAGGCCAGACAACCTATGTTCTGAGACATTCTGCATTTGGATCCGGAGCCAAAACTGGGAACACCTTTAGTATAACTACTATGCTAGAATTTCGATGGTGAGAGTACAAAGGACAATGAGGAGATGTCAGGCCTATATAAGTGATTAGAGACTTACGGTTGCTGCCGTGGAACTGCATAGTAAGGGATGGCATATACTGTAATCCGGTCTTAGGCAGGTCAAATAACCGACCAGAAAGACGCTTCCATTTGAAAAGGGGTATGGTGCTTGCGGGTCAAATGCAATCTCAGGATGTTTAACAAACATTCTCTCCTCTCTAAATGATCCAGGCCTCATAAGGAAATAATTAATTTATGCTATGATTCTGAGTATTAAGAACAGAAAAATCCTTGTTTAAAATTCAGCATCTCTTCCCACTGTGTTATGTTGTATTTGGCCCAAGCATAAACGAAGAGTATAGCTCACAGAAGACTAAATGAATATAAATTGATTTTTAGACTACAAATCAGCGGAAACAAGCTCCTTATGGTAGTGGCAGAGGGCAAGGAGCATAACTATTTTCATGACTGCACCTCCATCAGGTTACCATTGAAACTGTATGATCTTACAGCAGTGTGCTGGACTTCAATGACCCATTTTTTTACTGTGACCCCCTGTTCTGTTTGGCTAAATACACCAGTAGATGCTGAACTCCTTCCCTAGAGAGTATGCCGTCTCAGCACACTGAATGCAAAGGCACTTGTAATTGTGCTTATATGCTCTTCTGAATCATTGCTAGGGAACAGAAGTCAGAAGCTTTATTTATTTATTCAGGAAATGTACACAAGGGATTTGGCTTGAAAAACTGAGTTATCACTAAGTTAGGGTGCCTCTACTGCCATATTGATGTGCTCTCGACCTTGTACTTGAGGCCTAGACCTTGGCTGGCCATAGTACTGAGAGGCTGACAGATGTTCAGGCTGCATGCTAGTGTGTTTGAATGTAGAGGCAGGACAGTTGTACATGCTATTCGGACGCTCCAAAAGCCTCCAAAGGAGACCTGAGGCTTTTCCAGCATTTATGTGGCTTAAAACCCCTGTGCACTCAGATATTTTTACCAAAGAGACTGAAAAAATGCAGAGTTCCACAACTGATAAGTGTTGAATCAGAGCTAGTTCCATGCAGGTGTTTGTATGGACAGAAAACACTCTGGCGTAGAACTCTACGTGTAGATGGGATCCTGCTAGAGTTTAGCTCAGTACAGCACCTATCATCAGCATCATCAAATTCAAGGTCTTACCAGGCTCAGTGGTCGAGTATGGGGTTACGAGTTACATTGGCACTCACAGGCATCATACACGAATCTAGCCCTAAGTTAAAATATAAAATACAGCCAGTTAGAAAACTGAGGAGTATAGTCACTACTGGTGTTCAATTAAGAAACGGAATTAGTATACAGCCTTCCACTTCTTACATGAAAGTTGTTACATGGAAAATGTATTAACATGAAACAAAGATTAGAAGTGAGAAGAGTGTGTTCTGTTCTCAGTAACACAGCAATAATGCCATTAAAACAAGTGGAGTTATTCTGGATTTATGCTGGTTTGAGCGCTTACATTACTTCTCACAAAATCAGAAGGAAAAGGATTTAGATTAATATATTTGATGCAAAATAATGGCTCTGATGTATGATCATGAAAAATACTGAAATGCAGTATCTTAAATGAAGCATCTCAATTTTTAGTTTTGAAATGATGGCATACTTTAAATGTAAGTAAAATGAATTAAAATTATTGAAAACAAAATGAACATTTTTCTGATTCATCTAATTTTTTTTCTTTTTTTGGTTCAATCAATGAGTCAAAAAAACTTTTAAGAAAAGTCTTTTATTCAACCAGTTGTAATATTCAGTATTTTGCTGTGCTGTTAAACGACCATCATTTGTATGTCAATAAAAGAATCTCTACTTATGAGATTACTAAGCAAAGGAAGCAAGGAGATTAAGCAGCAGAATATTTATGTAAGCAAGAAACCAGAACTGACTAAAAAGAAAATAAAAACTATACTGATGGACTAATTAAAATTATGTTTCCGTAGTTGCCGAGGGAAGCAACCTGCAATTTAATGCAGCATAAACAGCGCATCTTATTTATGGCATGTATAGAAGGACACTGTGAGCAAGTTTCTTTTCCTGCTATTGAGGAAAGCGAATATGAAGTATCAATTCATACACCATGAGACATCCAGGAAAAACTGTATACGCACAGAGTGGATTAACAGAATACAGGGAGTTTGTGAACTTTATAAATAAAGTTGATGCCAGAACCTCAGCTCTTGTAAATCACAGCTGAGTGACTTATGCCAGCTGAAGATCTGGCATACAGAGAATACAGAAGCAAGAGCTAGTTTTCATTTGTGCTGAACTTTTTAATTTCATTTGGACATTACACGGCCTAGTGCCATGTGGCTTGTCTACGCATTCTTTCTCATTTAAATAAGAATTTAGGAAACCAGTGCCCTGCTCTCCTCTCCTCTTGATGTAGAACCACATAGAGTAATGTTTTGAGCTGCTGTTTCTTAATTCATATTGGAGAATGTACAAGAAATTCTTACAGCCATATGACACAGTACAAACAGTCCATTATATAATGGAAAATATTTGTATTTCAAAGTAGCATACCCTATGAATGAAATTCCAGTCGCTCATAGACGATATGCTCTTTTCTGAAATATAACTCATGTGCACTACATTGAAATACACTTCAGTGTATTGTGAAATGCATACATTAATTGCTGAATCTATAACACTGAATATGTATATACATCACACCCCAAATATTTATACAATATAGTAAGTCTTAGATGTGTAACATAATGAATTCTGTACAAAATAAACTGTAAGTTAAGACAATGAAAGAGAACTTTTATAGCTGTGTAATTTGTATGCTAAGTTATTCAAGCCTCAGTTTTCATCTTTAAATGTGCCCTTTAAAAAAATGTTCATTTTCTATAGACCTCTGAAATAAAGACTTCACTCTTCAGAAAAGAAGCAACTGTAAGACTGTAAAAAAGACACAAATTCTGGAGAAATAAACATACTGTTGATGTGATTTTTAAATTTGACTCTAAACCATTTTGCATTTATACTGATCAAGGATCTGTTCTGCTAGTGTGGTTGAGGGTGCAGGAGACCAGTAGATAGGCACTGTGCCAAATCAATACCATATGGGTTGCTCAAGCGCTGCCTTGCTCAAAGCAACGTGAATTACCAAATTACTGTCCAGGGGTTTCACCCAACCCTCCTTTCAAGATGGTGCTCCAGCTCTGTTTTTTTTTAGTGAGTGATCCTTTCCTAGAACCAAATGCAAAGAACAGATCATCATATTAAATGACCATTGTTTTGCTAAGTACGCTACGGAGTAAATATAACAAACTTCACCAGTCCCTTTTGTTCCCCAGTGTGAACCATCCAAGGCTGTATTTTGCTCCACTGTTGTGAAATCACTTCTAGAATTTCTGAAGTTCCCATCAGAATCAAAGAAACAGCCTCAATATTATTAAGTGACTATTAACCTTATCCCAAGAGCTACTAATACCAAAAAAAGAAACTGAACCTAGGTTTTACTGTTTGCTCAAGATCTTAGAGACTATGGCAGAACTTGAAATACACAGGCTCCTGAGACCTAATCCTTTAGCTTAACCTCCGCGTGCAATTAGGCCTCCCCCACAGGAAATAAAATAACAGACATCAGTGCTCTGCACGTGCTGCCATCTTCCTGATTTCAGCTGGAACAGGTTTGGGATCTGGTTGCACAAAGTCAGTGCAAATGTATGGGCTGCCTTTGTGCTAACGAGAGCAGTTTAACATCACGTGAATGATTTAAAGAGCACTATTTTAATTTCTAACATATTGAAACTTGCTTTTATATGAGGTCAGCTGGATGAATGGATTGAAAGGATTTTCATGCACTTTGGGCACAAATTCCAGTCAGTCCACTTGGTAATCTCAACAGTGAAAGATGAGACATTTCTCATTATAAATGACACATTTTGTACTGGTAATTATATTTCGTCTCTAGTCAAATCATACTATGACACCCTTCCACTAAGTAGTGTCTTACTAACCCAACTCCAGTGGAACTATTCACACTGACGCATTCTAGTTATTATAACTTAGGGTGTCAGACTATGAGCCTTTAAACAAAAAGAGTCTTTACAATCGTATTGTATACACACAGATGGGGGCGGGGAGGGGGGAAGAGGCCAATAAATACAATATAATTAGGGGCTGTTTTTTTTTTTTCTTCCAAAAAAACAGTGCCCTTAGCATTTGTCAGGGAAAAGGGCCACAACAGTGATATTTGTCACAAATTAAATAGGCCAAATCCTGAAGTTGAAACGCTCACTGGTCAGGAGCTGGACTGAAAAAACGACCAAACAGAGAAAGACAATTACCGATCAGGTCTGGGGCCTGAACAGTTTACATATGTGGCAACGTATTGTATTATGTATTTTTTATGAAGCTTAGAGATTTTGTTTTGTGAAAAACGGAGCCAGCCTGAAAAACTAACTATATTTTGTAAGTCTGCGACTTCGCAATATAGTCCTTACTGTGCAACATTACATTTCTATTTGTTTCTGTTCCAGTGATCCACGCGGCCAGTGATTGCAAAAGTTCAGTTACCGAGGGAATAAAATTGAGTTGTCTTATTGATAGAAAGCAGCTTATCTAAGAAATTAAAAATAAGTATATGATGCCCTGAGATCTTTTTTTCACTTTCGAAGTGTGTAATAGTGTTACCTGCTTCCAAAAACATACATAGCAGACGAAGGATTTATAAGCTGGTATGAACCAAGGCTTATATCATTCCTTCTGCTAAATTTTGGGTAAACCTATTTAAAAATCAATGGGCTCTGATGTTATCCAACACAAGGAAGGAACTCATGATTTAGTGGAAATGACCAATGGATATTTTCATCTTATACTTTAAAACTTCAGAGAGTAGAATATACTCTCCAGTGCTGTAATATTATCTCTAGGAATTTTTTTTTTTTTAACCTCAATCAACATTAAAAACGTTAACTTAAAAAAGCACAGTCCACATGAACAAAATTCTGATCTCATTCAAATATAAGACTGTACTATATTTTCAGTTAGGTCCACACTTTCTTTGTAATTTATGCATATACAAACACTACAAAGAGTGATGACCTTTTAAATGCATTTATATCCCAACTTTGTCTATTAGTTCTGTGGTCAAATATGCTGGCAGGAGTTGGGGAATGTTCTAAGTAGGTCCCACTGGAATCATGATAATGATAATAAACCTGGTCCCACTGGAATCATGATAATGTCAGTAATATCAGGCTTTCCTGGTATATAGGGTGCTGCTACTAGCCAATAACAAAGTCTTACAGCAGTTTTCTGCTGGCCAAAGTCTGACCCTGTTTAGTGTTTAGTGGCAAGAGGAACACACATACGTAGCAGTGCTTAAAATATGAAAATGTTCTCCTGCTTATTGTTCCATACTTACTTTTCTCCTATGTGTATGTGCTAGTGGCATTTATGCACCCTAAATTTTCAAGTATATGCACACGTGTCATAAAAATGAAACTAGTAGTCTGTAGGCTCAGTTTCTGTATGGGATTGTTTTTTATAAAGGATATTTGTAGCTTAACATTGCAAAAAAAGGCCATTAAAACATATTATGACCTGTTCTTGGCAAGGGAGCCATACACTATGCATCAAATACTAATCAAGCCACCAGTCTGGGCACAAGTCTAGCGCAGATTAAAATTAGTTCTTTAGGTGAAGTTTGTGACTTACGGTCTTTACAGTGATTCTCTCTCTCTCCGCACAGAAAAAGCTTCAGCCATCATGAAAGGTGCTTGAAAAAGTGATGCATGAGTTAGTTAATTGTTCTTTTTTTAAGAAGAAGAAGAAAAAAAATACAGAAATCTCAGTCTGAAAGCTTACCATCTCTGATACAAAGTGGCATTATTGTCCATTATGAATTAGCACGTTATTAACATTTTCAGAAATGTGTAACAGATACCTGTATAAACAGGTGCCGTTTACCATACTGCTAGCTATAAATCAACCTTTCACTTGAGTTAAAATACTCTTCCTTCCATGGAGAATTAATTTTGCCAAGGTGCTTTACTTTATTTCCAAAAGATAGCTGAATAGTGTGTTTTATTTTCACAGTTTAATTCAATTTTGGAATACAGTGAATGGTCAGAGCCAAATCCTAGGTAAACTAAGTCAAGCCACCTGGCTAGTGCAAGGAAATAAAATACAGAAGGGAAATCTTTGTCTAATCATAGTTCAGACTTTGTCAACATTTCCCCTTGGTTTAGATGAGCTGGGTGTAGGTATCCATTTTAATCACAGGCACCAGAAATAAGACAGACTTTTACTATGCTACATACGCAGAACAGGTGGCATGTACCATGTGTTTCACGGC